AACACATGTTCCCAACCAGAGCAGTGAGCAGGAACAACAGGCAGCCATGCCTGCTTCTCCCAAGCTGGAGGTCACCCTGCAAAGCCACAGAACACCGAAGCATGCCACACAGGAGGGGAGCTCACTGCAGGCAGTGCCAGAACACAGCAGAACCTAAAGCCTGGCTTAAGGGAAAAGCTGGGCTGAGCTGAAGTAGCTGCAGGCAGCAAATGCATCTGCAGCCTGGCAGTCCCTCCAGCAGCACAGCTGCTCCACACAGGTACCCAAAAACAGGTCAGAAGCAGCCAGTACCTCCGCTTCTCCACCAGCCTGGGAAAGGTCTGGATGTCTTCCTTGGCTGTTGCTGCAGGAAAGGGAGAAAAGATGAATCACACCCCTTGCCTTCACCAGAGAAGCAAGCCCTGCAGGCTGGGCTGGGCCGGGCCACGAGAGCCCGTCAGTCATGGAACAGCCGCCTGCAGGCAAGTCTCAGCACTCCACTGCCCACTGGGCAGGGAAGCTGGGATGGAGGGAAGGTGGGGAAACTGGGATGGCAGGAGAGTGTATCCACCACAAAGCCAGTCCCTTGGAGGGCAAAGCGCTCAATGCCATCCCTGAGCACCCAGGACAAGGTCAGGAGAGCTCAGCTCCAGCAAATGATGCTGTACGACCCCTGCCCAGGCAATTTATCTACCCCTCATCCGGTTTTCCCCTCTACCTTGTGTGACTGCCTGGGAAATACATGATGACTATTTGCCTGTAGCTCTAAGCCCTTCCCTCCCCCTCTCCCCAGGCTCCATCACCAACAAATCACCCGCTGGGAGAGTGGGCCAGAGGAAACCGGAGGCACAAAACCTCAAACAGAGCTTCCCCCCCCCCCCTCCACCCCGCTCCCCCTAGCAGTTCTGCATTTCATTACTGCAGCCAGGCCAGCTCTTGCCCAGCTGGGGAGAAGGAGAGGAGGGGGGGCCCTGCGGGGTTTGCACGTCGGGAGCAGAAATCACAACCAGAAGACCAGAATTGTTTGTCACCATGTCCCAGCACTCGCCTGGCGCTGACCCTGACTCCAGGACCTGTGATGGCCTCCTCCATTGGGGTCCCTCCATGCCAAGGGAGCTCCGGGCACCTTCCAGCCAGCTTCTCCCACCGCCAGCCATCCCCTTCTCAGCGCTGGCCCCCCTCGCAGCCCTGCTTCAGCCTAGCAAAAGTGCTTGGATGCTCCTTGGAAGAAACCCCGGGGTTTTTTTGTGAGCCTGGCCAGCTGGCTCAGCCCTGCCGGCAAGTTTCAGTGCCTTCCCTCTCCCCTTGGGATGGGAGCACCCTGCCCAGGGAAAACCCGACCCTGCCCAGGGAGAGCGGCGACAAGCTCCCCAGCCCGCAGGGTAGGGTAGGTAGGGGGCTCCCTCCACCCACCCTAAATATATATTGGCAGAGCATCGCCGCAAGCACAGTACATTGGAGACAGATGCAAGCCTTGCAGCGGCGTGAGGGCAGGCAGGGATCCAGACGCGCCTCATCAGCCTTTTGAGCCATCATTTAAGCAAGAAGTCCTGCGACACAAGGCTTCCGCACCTCTCCCTGCCCCGCAAAACCCCCTGCCCTGGGGTTTAGACCTTGGCAAAGCATGCGCCCCCAGGGCTGCTCCGGTGCCTCCAACTCCCAGGCGGGAGAGGCCCCGTCAGGCGCAGCCCCGCAGCGCTGGCCTCCCTCCCTCCTCCCTCCCTGCAACTCTCCGGATTCCTGAGCGCTGACACAGGATGCTGCAGCAATGAGTGTGTGGGGCCTTCCTCCCCTTCCCCTGCCCCAGGACAGGAGGGACGGGCGGTAATAATGGGTCACATCAGGCCAGGAGGGAGCATCCGGAATGAAAAACGGAGCCTCTTGCGAGCCCCGACCCCTCGCTGCCCATAGCCTCTCAGCCCCGCAGGCTTCCTCTGGCTGGCGCCGGTCCTGGCGCACATGTACAGCTAGCCGTACCTTTAACGGCCGAGGCAACTCACACCATTAACAATTGGCAACAGCCAGTTTTAAATCATTCCCTGTCTCCGGAAGGTATCCCTGAGGAGAGCTGCTCCTCATCCACCCCACAGTCACGCTGTGCCGATTACAGCAAGAAAAAAGCAAAAGGCTGCCGCTCACCCTCCTCCCTGAGCACTGACCAGGCAGCCTGGCTGCCTTGGCTCCTGGCTCCCACTGCTCCTCCACCGGCATATATATCCCACCCTTCAGCTGCACTAAGGGATCTTCGCAACTCCTGTCTCCTACCAGGCTCTCAGAGGACCTGATCTGAGCTGGAAAAAAGCAGCTGGCTAGGTGAACACTTCCAACAGCTCATTGCTATTACAGGAAGGTGAGGATGCTGCCATCTTGCCATTAAGTCATATCCTCCTTGACCCAGTGAGGCAGTTTCCATAGGAGTCACCCTCCCTTCCAAGTGATGGAAGCTTTTATTTTTATCTGGTTTATTTAAGCACTTCTCTTCCCTCTGTCAGTGTTGGCCTGGGCAGATTTGGGTCATTAGCCTCTCAAGATCATTCCACCTTCCTTGCTCAGTTGTCCCATCCCATCACCTCACCTCTGCAGCAACCTAAAGGCAGCACCAAGAGCAGAAGGAAAAGTCCAGGGATCAAAGCAGCATGACAGGACAGATGAATTAAGGAAAACAGGCCTTAGGTAAAAGTGATTATAGGAATAAAAAAGAACAAAGTGAAGGAAGAACAAAACAAAACAGAAAAGTTACCAAATGGAACACAGGATCATCATTACATGTCTTTTTCGATTTGAGACTCATTCTCCAGTGGAATGAGGACTCCTCTATGACACGCCCAAGCTCACTGGCAACTATCATGCCTTGGTTATTTTTTCCTGTGGCTCCCTGAGGATACACACATCCCAGGGAGCAAACCCCACGTTAGGAAAACACAGCCATAGGAACAAGCAACACCTCTGCACTGGCACAGCAGAGGCGGCTCCAACAGCCAGTGGAGCTGAACCGGGTCTTTTGGGGACATGGCACTGTGGTCATTTGCCAATAAGCAAGTACTTGCTCACCTCAGATAGCTCCATAGAGAGGTCACACAAGCAAGAAGGGGCTGCACTGGCACCTCTGAGTCATCTTTGCTACATTTTCAGAGGCCAACAGCAATTATGCTGTTGCACAACTCCTCTCTGGAAGATAAAAGAGATAGAGCACTGCTGGTGATCTGTGCCAAGGGGAGGCTGGGTCTTGCCTGCATAGGGACACCAGAGCCATATAAATCAACCAGACCAGATGCTTGAAAAGCAGCTGGGTGCCCTGAAAGCCTTGAGGTTTGCCAAGATGCTCCTGATAAACTCCCTGACAGCCAAGAGCAGTGCCCCCACCCCATTCCAGCACTCAGGAGCTGACTGCAAGCCCTGGGCAAAACCATTCACTTCCACAGAGATACTGTTGGGGAATAAGAAGTGGGACTGAAGTCCTCCCTCCCCTCTCTTGGGAAGGAAACTGTGTTTATACGGGAGCAGCAGGCCATTTCCACCCCAAAGCCCAGCTTCTGAATAAGAAAAGCAACCTGTGCCCTCCCAGCAGGATGTCCTGCAAGGGAGCAGGAGAGGTGGGGGGAAAGTTCTCTGTAGCCAACTTCCTTCTCCTCCCAGAAAGGTCTGGGAGGTGACTTCATCTCCTGTTCCACAACCATGCTGCTGAACTCCAGGGCTCTCCTGGAGAGCACCTGCACAAGTGAAGCAGGGACAGGTCCTTCCTGTCACCTCCCAAAGGTCATAATGCGGAAAGAAATGTCTCATCACATGGAATTTCCTTGGTGTAGTCTACCAAACTAAAGTTGTCTGTCACCATTAAGTGTAATTATCAAGAAAAGATGGTGAGACTTTCACTTTTATGTGAGAATAGGGAGCTACCAGTTTACACAAATACAGTGATCCCTCTAAGCCCTCCAGACCAGGCAGCTTCTCCTCCACCACAAGTCCTCCCCTCGCTGCCTTCTTAGGACTTCGAGAAGACCAAGCCTCACCTCTCCAGTTCTCACTGAAACAACGTGTAAAGGCCCCAGCCCATAAATCCAGGGCCCCACATAGGGACCTTGGTGCCTCCTGACCCATCTATGTCAGCCACACCAGAGAAAGCTAAGAGCAAGGAGCTTCACATTGGTCATTACTCCACACTGTTCCTGCCCGAGCCAGCTCCCTGAGGTTCAGCTAGATATCCCATGCTGCACTTCACAGCACACAAACATCTTCCTTGACTCACAGGAGATGCAATCCTCAGTTGAAAAGTTCATTAATTAGGAGCAGAAACGCCTCTAGTGAATCTCCCAGCGAGACGGGGAAAAAAATCCACAATTTAGTCTTAATTACAAGGCCTTAGGGCACTCCACAGTCACTGTGAAGCAGAGGCCAAACTTTTCTCCCCACCCCTAAGAGCAGGAACTTTAACCCAGTTACAGCTTTACAGATAAAGGAAAAAAAAAAATACAGCCCTGATACTCATCACTTTAAGTATAGCACAAGTAACAGCAAGGAGGAGGCACTGAAAAACCCTTCTGGCAGAGCAGTAGGGGGCGGGAGCACAGCCCATGTCCGGGAAGATCCACTCACAACGCCCCCAGCCTGGACCTCCGGCCAGGCAAAGCAGGAGTCCGGCGTCCGGCCCCTCCACAGCACGGGGCCAGACTGCGCGCAGCTGCTCTGCCGGGATTTAGCAACCGCTTTCCACCCACGGAGCGTGACTCTGCACATTAGATACTGAGCAAGACCTCAAATGCCACAGCAGCCTCAGCCCTGTGAAGAAACTGCAGCCGGAGGTGCAGGGAGAGCACCTGGAAGATCCTGGTAAGAACTCCAGTCGCTCAGAGAGAACTTCCCTTTCTTCCCGGAGGAGCTGGACTCCAACCCACCCTGAGCCTCTGGCGAAGCAGGGTGGATCCAGCCACAGACACGCAGCAGCCACACCCTGGCTGCTGCCTGCCGGCCTCCCAGCGACCTCCTCTCCCCGAGCCGGGCCGGGGCACACACGAGGACGAGGCTTGTACAGTTGAAAATATTTAATACGTGTTGTACACGTAGAATTACATTTTATACAAAACAAGATACATACTGAAGGAAAACACTGTACAAAATCCCTACGGGAGCCCCAAGCCTTTATACAACAAAGACCAGGAGTTACCAAGCCTAACAAACAGGCTCAAGGACTTGCCGTCAGAGCGTCTGTAAACTTCGTTTCTCTCAATAAACACTTTTAAAAAGCACCACGTAATAGTTCTGACCTAAACCTTCCCAAAATAGAGACTTTATTTAATAAACTTAATACTTTCCAAGCTTAAAATACTACCCGGTGGGTGCGCCCCCGGTGTCGGCAGCTGCGGCAGAGCCTCCCAGGGGCGCCGGGGAGGGCGGCGGCCCGGCCGGGAAGGGGAATTCCGGGAGGGTAGGGCCGAGGGCGCTTCCAGGGCGGATGCCGGCAGACGGGACCCAGCTTGCCGGCGGGGAAGTGCTGCTGCTGCTGCCACCCCTGCCCCGCGGCCCTTCCCGTGCGCCCCGGCAACGCGCCGGGACTCGCCGGCGCCGAATTCCCGCGGCGCTGCCCGCCCTTCTCCGCCGGGCCGTGGGTGCGGGGGGTATCACCTCTCTGTCCAGCTGCCCGTCCGTCCCAACAGGGCCCCCATCCCCGCGGCGGCGAGCCAGTCTCTGCGGCCCGCGCGTCAAAAGGCCACGATGGCCGTGCTCCAGGGGTTGAGGGTCCGCAGCACCGGCTCGTCGCAGCAAATCTGTCCCGGCTCGGCCGCCGCGTCGGTGGGTGTCGTGGCCGCCGTCGCCTCGCCGCCGTCAAGGGGCGCCCGCCGTCGGCCCTTGGGCTCCTTACTGAGCAGTCCTGAAAAGCTGGAGCCGAAGATGCTGATAAGGCTTGCGACGTTGCCCGTCTCCATGTCCTCCTGCTCGCCAGGCGGCGGCTCCTCCTCCACCTCTCGGCGGGGTTTCTTAACTGGGGAGCCCGCCTGGCCCCGATCGCCGGCGCTGCGCTTCCGGGGGCAGTGAGGCGGCGGGGGGGCCGCGGCCTCAGCGGCGCAAACCGAGCGGTTCGCCTCGCCGTCCGCCGCCGCGCAGCAGCGGCTACAGCCGCAGCAACAGCGCCGCGGCCGGGGGCCCTCACAGTCCGCGCAGGGCAGCCGTGAGCCGCCCCGACCCGCTTCGTCCTGCGGCGGCGGGGGCGGCACCTCGCCGGCCGCCCAGACAGTGGTGCAGGGCGGCTGCTCGTCGTCGGGGGACCCGCAGGCGGCGGGGGGCGGCTCAGGAGGGCAGCCCGGCTCGCTCAGGTAAACCTGCCGGGCGCTGCGCAGCACCAGCGACACCAGGAGGTTCTTGTGGAGCTTCAGGCCGCCGCGCTGGCCCCGTGCGCTGTAGATCTTGCCGAGCGAGATACTGACGATGCGGTGCGCCTCCAGCTTGAACTCCATGGCGGACAGGGGGCGACAGGACCACCGGGCTGAGGTGAAGCCGTGCGGAAGCCGCGCCAAACCTCCGGCCGCCGCCCGCCCCTCTCGCTCCCCACGCCGCCCTTTCGCGCCGCCGACTGAGGCGAGCCCACGCGCCCAGCGCCATTTTATACTGCCCCCGCCCCGGCCAATCAGGGCGCCCCGCCGGCCGCTCCAACTGCCGGCTGGCCCCCGCGCGCCCGCGCCTGCCAATGGCGACGCAGGGGAGCGGGTTCGAACGCTCTCCCGGCGGAGGTGGCTCTTAAAGCGGCAACGCCAGCACGAGATAGTGGTGGGGGCCTCCCGTCGTCGGACGCCGCGGGACAGCGGCCGGGACTGCGGCAGCAGCCTGGGCTCGGCAGCCCCAGCTTCACTGCACCCCGCATTGGCTTGATCACACCGGCAGGCAGCAGTGGGGATTTTGGCCAAAACAGCTGAAACATTTAGAGAGGAGAGGGGAGGAAACAGCAAAGCAAGAGTAACTCTGTTTTACAGGTCAGAAATGTTTCTCTCAGTTTCAGCAGCGGGCTCTGAGATCTTGTCGTGTTAAGAGACCGTGCTGGCTAGAGGGGGAAGTGCAGCTTTGAGTTCTTCAAGGAATATCTGCCCTCACATGGAGCAGAAAGCCATGCCTGCCCCACTGCCAGGCAGAGATCTGCTCCAGGGGTCTGGCAGCAAAGCTCACAGCCCAGAATAGAAGATGAAGATCCACAATGGGGTCAGGTAGGGCTGCAAGACAGGGTGGGGGAGGACAATATGCCACCAGCATCTCCAGGGGTGATGGGGTTTGTGGCAGCTCTTTGGGAACTGAAACCTTGCTTTGCCATAGCTGTGAAACATGCTGTCAGGGCCAGGCTGGTGGCCGGGGGCTGCAGGAGATAACCCACCCCCCAGACACAGCTCCAGGCACCAGGGTAGCCTCCAAGAAAGCTCAGGGGGTGTTTCAGGGCTTGTAGTGGGGACCCTCCTTCTTCCACCGAGAAGCAACCACCATCTGCAAGGAGGCAAGAAGTGAAAGGACCCAAAATTAAGGAAGTTCAATGTGCTGCCCTGGAGCATCAGTTTCCATTCTCAGCTGACACATGTGACAACTTGCTTCCATCCCTTTTTTCCAAGAGATTTGTCTGCAGGCCCCCGACAAGAGTTAGAGGCTGTGATGACATCTGGTTGGCAAGACCTGCCACCATGTCCTGGATCACTGGAAGAACAAGGGGGTGGCTGGTCATAGTGGTAACAAAAAACAGGTTGAGATTTAGTCACATCAAGACATAGTGAGACAGCAAGAGCGTTTCCCCAGGAATCCCCCCCACACTCAGACCAAACAAAAGTTTTCCTTCTGCTCAAGCACAGTTAGAAAACCTCAAGTGCCACTCTTTGGATGTTGAACACAACCACATTTCTACCTGGGGGTCAACATCTCAAAATGTCCACCTCCTCTTGCACAAACCTGCCACACTCCATCCTAAACAACTAGACCAGAGCATGCTCAACTGTACAGCCAAAACACCGGCCAAAGCAGCCAGCCTCAGCTGTCCCTTGTCCACGCCAGGGCATGCCTCTCCCGGACTCACGGAGCAAGGCTGTCCCACCCACACCCAGCGTGGGAGGCTAGAGGGACGCGAGCCCCAGTGGTGGGAACCGAGGGTTTCCAGACCCGCCGAACCTGCTCCTGCGCCTTGGAGGGCCGGCAACACCCTGGCCTAAGCCCTCGGGTCAGTCTAACCAGCCAGAGCAGGTCTAGGCTTGGATGTTTGGGACTGCAGTCACACCTCCTGGCTCTCAGCCCACATGTCTGCCCAACACCAGTGCCCTCCCCACTCCATGACACAGCATTCAGTTGTGCCCCTGCAAAATGGCTTGTCCATCACCAGGCGTGTTGCTCTGAGACTGCTGGTTGCAGGATCTGGGCATCTGCATCCTCAGCAGAAATAACCCCAGTTAGAAGGATAAAGCCAGGTTTGATACGTCTTAGCTGGATATATTCCTGACTTGGATGTGGGTGAAGAGCAGCGGTGCAAATCCATCCCACTGGCTGAAAAAAGCTGAATGCAGGTGTAGAAGACACAACACTAGAGCTTTGCTGAGTGAAGATGCCTGGATCTGAGCGGACTGACCTGTTCTGCCGCTCACTGCCTCACCCCAATGGCATGAGGCACCATTCCTCTCCAGTTGCTGTGTTTTAGCAACCTAACCTGCCTAGGAGCAGGTGGGCCAGCAGCTTCCCCCTTGCCCTGGCTAGGGATAAGCACGATGGGAATGGGTACCGAGTGGTCTCTCATCCCTGTTAGTGCTCAGACAGGAATCTTTAAGAGTGGCAGGGAGGAACAGAGGCACATGAAGTCAGGTGGCAGAGCTAGTACCCAGTATCACACATCAACACTGTGCCTGCTGTCAGGCATAACCACTGGCATGTGTTATTCCCAGAACAAAATAGCCCCACCCCTGCCTACACTTCATACCCTTTGCAAAGAGATGGGACAGTGGTTTGCTTTCTCGGGGTGGGGGGTGACATGCAAGGGGAAAACGGGAAGACCGGCACCAAGTGCAGACAAGGGCTGTCCGCAACATGCTGTCAGCGCGCTCAGGCAGCCCGTTTAAGCCCGGCAGTATTTTGGTGGCAGCCCTGCCTTTCCCTCCCAGGCTGATGTCATGCTTTAGTAAGTTTGAGACAGTCACATGGCAGCTCCTGAGGTCAGCTGCTGGGGTGGCTTTGTTGTCTGCCTGCCTGCCTGCCTGCCCTGGGCTCCTGCCTGCACCCGAGCCGGTCCTTGCTGCTGGGTGACCCTGCTGTGTTTGTCCCTTGAACAGGGCATCTCCGTGATACCCATGGCTCAGCATCTCCGTGATACCCACGGCTGGACACAGCGTGGGAGCCGTCACTTCGGTGGGGCTGGCATCCCGGACAGTCGCACACGCCTCGTGTCTCCCCGTCTGCCTGCGGAAGGGACATTACCCCCCATCCCTGCGGGTCGGGGGAGGGGGGGATACACGAGAAGGAGGCGGAGGAAAGGGTGTGACGAGGTGCTCTAATCTCCGCATGTGATCTAACTGGGCTGGAAGGGGGTTGATGAACAATTAACAATCCTCGGCCTCAGCTGCTGCTTCCAGAAATAGCTCTGGCAGGAGGAGGAGGGCGGACGGGCTGGCAGACAAAGGTGGCCTCTCCGCCAGCAAGCTGCAGTCGGCAGCGTGGCCAGCAAGCCAGTGGCGGAGGCAGCCCCGGAGGCCGAGCAGCGGGGAGCCTGCGGCCCCACCTGGAAAGGAAAACAATGCAAGATAAAAGCAGCTCGGGGCAGGAAGCAGCTTGTGGTACAAATAATAATTGGAGAGGGCTGCGTACACCACCGGGAGTTTTGGAGGTGTTTAAATTCGCCTTCCACAGTGGGCAGAGGAGGCTGGCGCCGGGAAGATCGTCTGGGATTCGCAGGGCTGCATCTTGGCTGGGCGCAGCGTGGGGCTGTGTGCCAGATGCCTGCATCCCGCCTGCATCCCCTGCTATGGCAGCAAAACCCCGACCGGGTCCTCCCGCCCTCCTTCCCCCCCCCCCCCCCCCAGCTGCACCTCCCTCCCCCCCCAGCTGCAGCCCACGCAGCAGTGTCGTGGTTGGAGCCGCACCAGCACAGCCATCTGGCACCCAGCACAGCCGCAAGACCTGCGGCGGTGGGGCTGAGGATGTGGTTAGCAAGGTCCTGTTTCGACCGCGGCGCCTGTCCCAGTCCCCACTCCCCCGCCAGACCTTCGCTGTCACCAAACGCGCAGCCCAGGCCCCAGGGAGAAGCCAACTGCAACAAAGAGGTGGAGAACCCTGTGGGTAGGACAGATGGTGAAGTTAGGGTCTCCTCGAAGCACAGACTGAAGTCATCCATCACTTCTCTTGCCCGTCCCAGCACCACTGCAGTCCACTGTCCCCTTTCTATTAAATTCAGACCAGAACTCATAAGAGCCTTCCCAGGAAGAAGATAGGAAAAAAGAAGCCAAACCTCCCTCACCACCACTGAGGCTGGGAAAAAAAGCCTTCGCACCAACAGTTGCCTTGCAGATAGAACAGAGCTTCAGGACAGCCAAAGCCTCAGGGAGATCCAGGCACATCCCAAGAGATTGCTGATGGAAGCAAAACGGCACAGGGAGGATCATTTCCAAACGTGATTCATCTGCAGCCCAAGTTCATTTCTAGATGGAAATAACAAACATCTCAATTGTGAGGGACTTACACAGGGCTCAGGATGAGAAGGAGGTTTCTCTGGGGTTTGTTTTTTTTTTTCCCCAGAAAAATCAATGACTTGCATGGATGTGGTCTGGACCTGCTGCAGTCGGATATCAGTAACTAATTCCCCAGGGTTCCCAACTGCTCTGGTTTATGCAAGATTGGAGATAAGGTCAGAAGAGCTGGGAAACATCCCAAAACAGCAGAGTGCTAACCACTAATCACTGCCAAATGAAAACCAAACACAATGCACAAGTGAAACAAACACAAATCAATACAAAACCTAAAGCCAAAGGAGAGAAAGAAGCTCCCTCCCTCCTCTTCTGAAAGGGCTGAGACACCCACCCCTGAAAGCACAGCCACATATTAGAAAGCAAAGGTTTTTTCCAGGGTTAAAAACCTCCTACCCATGAGCAGCGATGATAGTGTAGGTAGCCCAGGCAGTCAGGACTCCTTCCTACAGGGTTTTTTTTCACCAATAACCTGGGATTCCCCCTTTTGCTCTTTCACAAATGATTTAAAATTTCCTTTCCCTTACTCTGAGCCTTGGGATTTCCCTTCCCTTCCCTGGAGACCCGTGACCTGGACTCCCTGCTCATCAGAAATCCTGCTACTCCTCCAGCACTCTCTCCAAGCACAAAGGGGGTCGGGGCAGAATCCCACTCCCAGCTATCAGCTTCTTCAGGCAGATGTGGCCCCACATCTTTTAGTGTTTTATGGAACCAGTTTGGGTTTCCTGGAGAAAAAAAAATGCATTTATTTGTCCAGGGTTTCCTATCAGACAACCCTTCCATTGTACTCCACCTTCCTGTACTTTTCTTCCCCTCTGATATGCCTGCAATGGGTCCTGTGCCATTTCCAAAGACAGAGGCTGCCTTGTGTCCAGGGGGAAAAGAAGCAGGACAGCCCTGGGATGCAGCCCAGCAGACAACCCTCTGGCTGCCCAGCAAAGCCCATGCTTTTCACTGGAGTGATTAGCTCCCCAGCAAACTCTTTGCTACAGAAGAAGGCAGCCTCAGTGGCGTTCACCTGCAGCCCAGTATGGGGTTAAACATCCCAAATTAATCATGCAAACTCCGCAGAGCCAACCAGGTCTCAACTGGGCAAACGGTGGGGTAGATCTCCTGCCCAAAGGACTCTCTGCCTAATTATTTTTTAACTTTCCCTGTATCTCAATGTCACCTTCCTTTTAGCCAGCAGGCAAATGTCAGCTGTAGCCCTCTGCACATCCCAGAGTACAGATGTGTCCTCTGTGCGACTGTTTTGCTTAGGCATGATGGGGAGGATGCGCAATGATGCTCTGGAGCCATGGAGCTGTTATCCTAGGAGAGATGCCTGCTCTGCTCCCTGCTGACGAAAAGGGGGACCAAGGTCCCTGGGACTTGCCAACAAACCACACCACACACAGTCCTTATTCAAAGTCCAAAGGCATGCCAGGAGGCAACCTTGAGTCCTAAGAGTAGCAACCATGGAGGAGGGCACCAAGGGCAGAGCAGATCCTCTCTGTGTCGAATCCCTCCTCCCACCATCAAGCGAAACTGCAAAATAAAACATCTGTGCCTCTGAGCAGGCATTCACTCCCACTCTTCTCTCTGATCTGTGCCCCTTCCCTCTCGTGCAGGCTATCATTTAGCCACCCATTCCTTCTAGCAACGTGAGGCTAACAATGTGACAGAGCCTGGAGCCCTGGTGAGGTCATCCATGGAAACAGGAATAACAAGGAAGGTTATGGGGAAAGGATGCCAGGGAAAAGTTAATTCTGATTTCACCCACATAAAAAAGTAACAAGGACTCTGGCAGTGCAGCACCTTGCTACTCATGTAATTTAATCTCTTTCTGGATCCAGGTAAGTTCTCAGCACCCCTGGCATCCTGTGGCAGGCAGTCCCAGAGGTTCACCCTGCTGAAAGTAATGCTGCCTTTGCTCTATTTCATTTCCCATTTTCACCCTCATTAAATAATCAATTGCTCATGCACTACAAAGAGGGATTTATTTTTTTTTTCAAAACCACCATTATTCTGAATAGTCATCCCACATCCTACCACGAATTATCACCTTGCATTTGCTCATTTATTTTGTACTTGATTGTAACTTTGACCTTTGTGGCCAGCTGTCCAGTCAGGGATTGCAGCCTCTACTGCACACAGGCCTTGCACTGATACGAACCTACCCAAGGGTAAAGCTATGGCATGAAACCAGCTCTCAGTAGACAATGCAAGCTCACAACAGACAGCAGCAGGAGGAAAGTCACAACCACAGAAGAAGGTTTGGTGAGGCTTCATTCCTTCCCAGACAACTGTGAGTCCAAGGAAACCCACTCCATTGGCTCTAGCATGTAACCAGGAGCACCCAGCATCCAAGCCACCTTCTTGGCAAGGAGCAATCACCTCTCAGCATCTTGCTCTTTTAATGCCTCAGAGCTGCCACTGTCAGGCCACCATGCTGTCACACAGCTGAGGCCTTGTGTCACCTGTGCCCTTGGTGCTTCACAGGGAAGTCCCCACCTATTCATAAAAATGAGGCTCAGGAAACCTTGTTACAAACACAGAGGGGCCATGAGTGGGTAGGGTTTGCTGGAAACACTTGGGATTTGATGGAAAACCTCACTGCCCACCACAACACTGAATATTTAGCCACAAAGCAGTGTTTTTTATCAAGTTATCATTGCCTTATCTCTCCTCCTACAACCACAGAAAATCTTCAGCAACTTTCACTAAAAATGCAAATGAGGAAGAGAAACACTGAAGCATCTGAAACCCATTAGCTTTATTACTTCTTCCTTTAGCTGTAAAACCTTTTCTGGAGGAAAAAAAAATCCCCTATGTTTTTACAAATCCAAATTCAAATCAATCCAGCTTTTCTCCAAGAGGAAAAGCCATCCCTTCCTGCCAAATGCATGTTTTTGTACCGGGCTAGTACGGGATCTCACACACACACACTCCCCCGTCCATGTACACACATGCCACAATTTTTTCCTGATAAAAGCCTCAGTAAGCCCAATTCTTCCCTGCAGACAGTTGGGATTTTGATGAGTTGGCGCTTTTCGGAACAGAAGTGTTTAATCAGATCTTTCCTGACCAGTTCTGCAGCTGTGTGCCATGCACGAGCACTCCTCTCCCAGGGAGGAATCGGTTAGCTGAGCATGCCAGAAAGCTACCAAAATACTTCCCACTGCTTCAAAACCAAAAATCAGAGTTTCCCACAAGATATGGCAAAAATGCCTCCATTCTGAAAAGTCCATAGCAGTGCTGTTGAATCTAAATCATTGACTGCATCATGTACATTAATTTCCAGCATCAAAGAAAAGACTGTCTGTGTTATTACTGGAAAGTCTGCAACTTCCCTACACTTCAGTAACCCCTCCTTATTTTCAGCCCTCAACAGCCCTGCAAAGCTTCACTTTTTTGCACTTTTTTGCAAATGCATAAAAAAACACCCATTTTCAATTAAGTGAATAAAGTGTTCATAGAATTTATTAAAGGATTTCTGAAATTCCTAGCTAGTAACTCTGAGCGGCTGTGGGAGCTTTCCCTTGTTTCATTCCCATCATAGCGAAGGTTTCAGGGGATGCTTGACAGGAGCAAGCCAAACTGCGCAGTCTTGGCACACCAAAAGGGGATCACTGCAAATTGCCTCTGACAGACTTCCGTAAGTGTTTGAACAAATCTAACCCTCATAACCTTCAGTGGGCTGCTCAGAATATATCATGTCTTTAAACACACTATAACTTCTAGAACCAAATCCCATGGAGGCTCTGAACACAAAGCAAGAAGGCTACATTTGCTGAGCTGCTTCAGAGCAATGTCCCCATTGAGGGACAGGTGAGTTATGGTGCCCTGCATTTTGTGGAACAACCCTCCACCTCTGAGCTTGGTTGCGATATGCAAGTTGTTAAGGTGGGAGCTCTGAAGAGTGTGAAGCACAGTGGAAATCACTGGAGGATCGTGGGGGTTTGGGGAGTACAAGGTCTTTGGATACTAATGACTCCTTGGCCCCTGGAGGGAACCCTCCATGCTCAGCACAGTGCATTTCGCTGGGATCCCAGCATGCGAAACAAGCCATCCAAGGTGCAGCAAGGAGGGGCCAGCAAACACAAACCCTAAAGCTTGCCTCCGGCCTGTTGCACCACACTTGGCAAGCTGCAGCTTCCCTGGTATGGGGCTGGCCGGAGCAGGAGACAGCTTTCTCACCCCACAAAACTGCAGAAACCAGTTTTACATGTGCCGCAGCCTTCCCACCCCACACTCATGAGTAAAGCTGCTGTGATTGCAAAATTGAGGTATCCAGTTCACATGCTGAGGAGGCATCTCTTGTACTTTTCTCTCAGTGAATCGGCACTGCTTTTGCTAGGGATGCTGGACCACAGCCACATTCAGAGAACACAGGCAGGGACATGCACTCCGATCAAGAGGCCAAAGATCTGGGTGATTGCTCCTGGCCATACCTCTGCAAAACTGAATATCTTGCCTGCCTGACCCATGGAGTAACACAGGACACTCCACACGCAGAGTGCTGCACAGAGGAAGCTCTGCCTTGCGTGTGTGGGAACATCCGGGTGCTGCAGAGGCACCTTTCTCTCCTGCCAGCTTTCCTAAGACTAGGGCTATCTGTGCTTGCAGCTGAGAGAGACTACTGGGTAGCCGAGATCTGAGGGGGAAACGAGGGAACAAGAGGTCCTCACGCTGAGATGGACAAAAGCCCAGAGGCAAAGGGCTGTTCTCACCCGCAGAAGGGAGGAGGAAGGAAGCGGTGCCTGTTCATTCCCGGGGCAGGAAGGGTAGCGGGAGCAGAGCAGACTGGCTGTCGCTCTCTCCTTCTTCCTCCCTCGCCGGGTGGGAAAACACCCTGCCAGGACCACGGCCCAGCACCCCGGCCGCCCGCAGCCCCACTCCGGACGTGCCTCCTTAGTGCCGAGAAGCAGGGAGGAGCAGACGCGGCGGCAAAGGGGGCAAAGGGACGTTGTGCTCCAAGCAGCGAAGGGCTGGAAGAGCCGGCTGGAAGAGCGGGGACAGCCGCGCAGCATCTCCCCTCTCGGCTGCCCCCGTCCCTCAAGAGACCGCCACAGCACACCGAACCTCCACCGCCGACTCCACGTCACCGCTGGGCACCCTTTCCCCCCCGCCGGCCCAAGTGCGCAGGCGCGCCGCTCGTGACGGCAGGGGCGTGCGTGGCCCGGCGAAGGGGGCGTGGCGCGGTGGCGTGCTGCGGCTGGGGCGCGCGGCGGCGGCGCCATGTCGATGGAGGACCCCTTCTTCGTGGTGAAGGGGTGAGCGGCGAGCCTCGGGGACACCCGGCCACGGGCAGGGCGCTGGGCGCGGCCGGGGTTGGGCGTAGCCGCCCTAGGGAGTGAGGGCTGAGCGGCGTCCGGGGGTCTCTGGAGGCGACCGGGACGGGGGAAAATGGCGTTCCCGACACCCCCCTTTGCGTCTGGGGCGGCCCCGGGCTCGGCCGCGGCCCCGCTGGGTTGCTCGACGTCGGAGGCCGGGCGCGGAAGGCCCCGGGACGAGGCTCTGTGCCGGGCAGGTGCCGGGCCGTTCCCGGGCTTCCCCGCACGAAGCGCTTCCCGCTCTCGGCGCCGGCGACGCCCGAACTCTGTAGATGCACCCCCGGGTAAAGCGGGAGGTGCAGCGCGGCCGTGGCTGCAGGTGCGGTCCCGTCTCGGAGCGCCAGCTTGGGGACAGCGTGCCCGGATGTCCCCGTCGGAGGGAGGTGGCAGAGACTTGGGAAATGCTGCCCTGCAGCGCTCAGAGCAGGGCGGGCGGCTTGTGGATGGCATCCCCCAAAGCCGAGGGCCGCGGTGTACGGGTTGGAGGATGGAGAGGCGAGGGGACCAAGTTGTGAAACAAACTGCAGTATGGACAGTGGCCATGAGAAAAAGCAAGCAGGGAAGCGCCTGAACACAGGCAAACGCAAACCTGCCTTGACCGCAAAGGTGACCACCATAAAGGTGGTCAGCGCAGAAGGAAATTAATAGGTTGAAAGCACCTCAGTCTCTAAAACTACCTTGGGGCCACCTTCAGCTTCTGCTGCAGGTGGGTCTCCTACCCCATGTCACGGTGAAACAGCACTCAAGAGCAGCAGAGGTGCTTGTTGAGGAGCAGCGGGGAAAGCCGTATGAGCATAAGAGGTGTGGGAAGGGGTGCTGGTGCAGCCAGGGAAAGTGAATCAATCTGCCAGGTTGAACTGGTGCAAAGGGGGAAAAAATACAAGTCGCCATGGGTGGGGAGCAAATTTCTTGTCAAACTTTTCGGAGAGGTTCCCGTGCCATGCGGGGAAGGGCTGGGAGGGGAGAGGGGTGTGCTGCCGCTCCCAGTGTTAATTATTACCCAGCAGGTCGAAGGGGCTGGGGGTGGTGGTGGAACCACCAGCGTTGCATTTAGTTTGCTTTCCTGGTGTTTCTCCCATCAGAGGACGTCCAGCTCTACTTTGAATTCCTTTTGTGGGAACCTCTCCAGGTATGCTCAAATGAAAAAACCAAAACAAACCCAAACAAAAAAAATACCCCCAAACTTTTTCTAGCAAGTAGTGAAGGGAACAAAGCTTGACAGATCCTCAGTGTGGGCTGCTGCCTTTAGGGCACTAGATGTGGCGGACTTGGAACTGTAGGCCTGCGAGACAAGAAGGGACACTCATCAGGGTGCCGAGAGACTGCAGCTTAGCATGGTTGCATACTTCAGGTCATGGTGTAGAGAGCTGCAGAGTGCAGTCTCGGGTCATCTGTTTCTGGGCTTCCCCTACTGATAACCTGCTTTTCTTCACTGGGGATGAACCACCAGCATCTTACATAGATGCTGTGTGTAAGCTCTTGAGCTTGTGGTGGCCAGTTTTCACACCAGCAAAGTCTGGTCTTGTCTGCATCCCTCATCCTGGGTTCTTGTCAATGTAGGGGAGCAGTTCACAGCTCAGGACTGCAGAGTTTGTAAATACAGATAACCACACTGATGGACTGTGACCCAAACTTACAGACCCATTTGCCCCAAATCATCAAAGCAGCATTCAGTGCTGTCAGCAAAGCTGTGAACACACTCATCTCCAAAAAGCTTAGAGCAGCAGAAAAGACTTGTGTTCCCTAAGCCAGTGTAGTAGAGCTGTGTATTTTTTAAATGCTGAATTAAAATAAACAGTGCTGCACTCAACAGTCTGCCTAGCTGGTACTGTGGGGACAGTTCCTCTAATTTTGTGTGCCCTAGGGGATCTTACATAGGTAGTCAGGAGTCTCCAGAGGAAAGCTGTTGAGAGGAATACAGAACATTAATTGCCAAAGAGCTGCCTTGTTCAGACACTGCCCTGACTTGCCTGTGTGATACTCGACAGAAACCTCCTCTAAAGAAATATGTCCCTTCATTAATAGCTGACATGTAAGTTGGTGCTGCAACAAGAGATGGGATTGTCCAGTAGGTAGGGCAAATCCTTACTTCACAAAATAAGCTAAAAAGTGTTGGAGAGAAAGCTGTGCTTCCCTGAGCAGTTGGACATGGGGCTGTGACTGCTGCAGAGGAACTGATGGTAATCCCTTCACTTCTCTTTAATCACCTTGGCTGCAGGGAGGTGCAGAAAGCTGTGAATACTGCCCAGGGGCTTTTCCAGAGGTGGACAGAGCTCTTGCAAGATCCCTCCATTGCCACAAGAGAAGAAATCGACTGGACCACTAATGAGCTCAGGAACAACCTGCGGAGCATCGAGTGGGACCTGGAAGACTTGGATGAAACAATTAATATCCTTTCTGTGGTTCTTTGGAGAGGTGGGATGTGGTTCCTGGGTTGTACTAAATAGCCAAGTACCAGTGCTTGCCAGTAGTTACTTTTTGCAGAAAGGACTGTTTGGGATAGAATTTTGCATTTATGTTGGCTTTTCTCAAACTGCAAATGAGAAATTAAGGCAAACATCTGCAGCAAAAGGATTTTCCTTTTCCTTTTGACAAGGTATATTTTAAGGCTTTGTTCTAGAAAGCCTATTGTGTTGTATGAATTTGGATTTCTGTGTAGTCAGTCATACTCTAGGCTGGCTTCCAGAAATACTCCTTTTCCCTTGTGTTCATCTGAACACTCCTGAAAGCACTGTGCAGAATCAGAGAACCAAGAAAAACGGAGGAGAGAAACCTCACACTGGTGCATGTACTGCACAGTACGTTCCTGCCATGCCTGCTTTTTCCTCCAGTGTTCCATACTTTGCAAATACAATTTTGGGAAAAGGCACAGCACAGTGGCTGCTTGGTAGGCCCCCACTGAGGCACCCTGTGGGTTTGTGTGCCTGTGTGCATACCCAAGACAGCAGCTAATGGGGACTCCTTGACTCGCTGCCTACGCATTGTTGAGGCAAACCCACGGAAATTCAACCTCGATGCGACGGAGCTGGGTATCAGGAAAGCCTTCATCACGAGCACACGGCAGGTGGTCAGGGTAAGGAACGTGGCCTTGGGGTGGGAGCATGAGGAGGTAGCTTGAGGAAGGAAGGCAGGGGGAGTGATTAGGTGGTTAAATAAAGGAAGTCTTGTGGTCATTTCCCCGATGAACTGGAGAGCAGAGAATAAACCTGATACCTGCTCTCTCTCAGGCTTCATTCTCTTCCCCTTGTGCTCCCTCCTGGGGCTGCCCATATGGGTTTGGAGCATATCCTCCTTTGTTGCTGCTGCTACCTCTTGTAAGTCTTCACAACTCTTACAACAGTAAGCCTGAACCTATAGTAACTGGAGAGGAAGAATAAAGACCTTCTGTGATGCAGGAGAGGCTGGAGCCTCCCTTCAGAGTTGAAGGAAATCACAACTGTCCTGTGCTTATGTAGCACTATTTTTCAAAACAGAGTCCACTTTGAACACTGACAGATGGTTAAAGCCTAGCATTACTGACGTGGTGACTTCAGTTTCCTACCTCTACAACACAGTCCAAACAACCACTAGATTTATTTTTAACTCAAGAAAGATCAGGGTTTTTAGTTTAAGTTCACACTTCAGAAGCAAAAGGAAGATTTTAACAACTTGGTGGTAACAAATAGAGAAGGAACATCTTCCTGAAAGCATCACTGCCTGGTAACAAGCTGCTAGTTGGGAAGTTTTCTTCCTATTAATAGCTACACTAGCATAGCTCAGTTTCTGCTGCCTCTCATGAGTCTGATGTTCCTATTTCACAAAATGCATTGCTGTGGCTGGTGGAAAGCTTGTTACTCTACCTGCAGTCCTGTGATCTGAATGCAATTCCTAAGGCTTGCTGCCTGGGAACTGATAGCTAAACCACACTCGCCCCATGTAGCAGGCATGTACTGACTGCTTTGCCCTCAGTGTAGTCCACTCCTAAACAGACAAGATCATGCAAGCCCACCCTATGGTCCTCTTTTTCTGGCTGAAGACTGCTGGCTAATGGGTTTTGGAGCAGCGTCTCTTATTGTTAAATGAGATTCGTTAGAGGCATTATGCAGCTGACTTCCAGTTTCCGTGGGGTAATACATGGTGCACAGCAGCGGGTGAAAGGAATTGAGTGGGATTCAGTGCTCTTAAGTGATGTATTACATGCCTCTGAACAGTAAAACATACCTAAATGTCCTGGTGACATCAGAATTCTGGTGAGTCAACCTCTACTAGATCATATTGACTACTTGCTAATCTGTCCTATTAAAACTAGACTGTTATAATGGGGAGCCTTCTGTAGCTAGTGATCTTTCCAGGTACTCGGCAGCAAAACTGATAGAGGAGAAAACATGCGTAGTCAGAGAGGATGGCCACAGGACAGGAAATCTATCTTGTCCTATGCAGTAGAAACCCAGATGTGACTGGGAGTAAAGTGCAGGGGGTTACAGGCTCCCAAAATCTTGAAGAACATGATTCTTCCTTACAGTCTATCAATGGGAACGTTAGTTTAATATTATACAAATAAAAGTGTTTCTGGCTGTAGCGGAGCAAAAAAAGTAGCAAAATTTAGTATTTTCAAAATATCTCATTGCTCTTGATTGTAGTATTAGTAAAATGATGAACTGCAATGAAGCTTTCTGCATTTTTTTCTAGAATTTTCAAAATTTTACATTTTCAAAGAAAATCTCCCTTCCCTCACTGCCTCTAAAATAGCCTTCCTGGATATAGACAGCCCTTTTGCACTGTGAAACTGCCTGTCACCTCAAATCCAATGCTCACATACTACATCTTTTGTTGAACAAACAGGAAATGAAGGATCAGATGTCAAACTCCTCCATACAAGCACTGGCTGAAAGAAGAAACAGGCAGGTGAGAAACGGAAAAAGGCAAGTTAAGTGAACACAGTGGCTGTTTGATGCTTTAAGGAATGAGGAGGATTTATCAGCTCTAGCAGCCGTTGTCTTAAGGTATGTGTTAGGGGAAACTTCTATTTTCACTTACTCCAAGGCTCCATGTTGTAAGGTAAAGTGTATAGCATTGATTAAAACTGTATAAAAGCTGTAATTACAAGATATATCCTGTCTGTAGTTCATCCCCTTAAAAGCCTTTGTTCTGGGAAGGGGCTTGCATGCTATAGCAAAGCTGTGTGTTTGAACTGTGTGTTTTTCTGACCTGAGCGAGCTGGTCTTGCAGGCATGTTGCTGCCTCTTCCAGGTCTGTCTCTCAAAGCAGAAAGTCAGCATTCACCATCTGTCGCTGTCTTAGATCTGTTTGTGTACAACTGTCAGTGTTGCATCATCCGGTGGAAAGGGGAATATCCCTCCTTAGGGGCGCAGACTCAGAATCCATGTCAGCGAATGTAATCCTGCGCTCTGCTGTATTTAGGATCCAAGATGCTGCAATATCATTTCACACAGCTGCCTGTCATAATGGTTAGCCATGTAAACAGATGGAAAAAGCTCAAGGAGTTGCAGTGTCTGCAAATATAATCTAAGGAATAGAAATAGGTGCAGCTTGTGCTCCTTCCTGGTTGACAGGGAGCCTGTAAGGAGATCTCGGAGCTGACTTCCAGAGCTGCCTTAGTAAAATTGGTGCGCACTTCATACAAGTAACTTGTGGCAAAAAATGACAAACTGCAACAAGCTACTGAAGTACAGAGCTAATTCTTGAGCTTGTTACAGGGTTAGTTGATGTGCTTGCTAAACACAAAGAAGCAAAATCCCTTACACTCTTGCTCAAACAAGTCTGTAGCTGTCTCTGCATTTTGCTGCTTTCCTTTGTGCAAAGTTCCTGCTAGCTGCAGGAGACCATATGGCTCAGCTTATGTGGTGACATCTGGTCAGGAAAACTGACTTCCCCTTGCCGTCTTCCTCCCCTTTCCCCAGCTCCTCGCCTTTCCTCCAGACCGTGAAGCCTGTGCTGAGCTGGACTGCAGCTGCTCTTCAATGTGCCTCTGTGTCTGAAAGACTAGCTCGTGGTGATTTGACCCTTATGGGCTAAGGATGCCAAACAGGCCCTTCTGCAGCAAAACTAGTGCACCATTTTAAATAAGTGGTAGCTACGCTTGCCACGAACTGAAGAGAACCAGGAGCTTGTTCAGTGTCTCAGGGCAAAGCCATATGTCCCGTTTGCTTCCTGCGCTGTTGGTCCATCAGCTTTCATTACCACTCTTGAACTTTGTAAGGCAAATGAACCGTAGAGACAGTCTTGGTTTTAGCCTGCCAGAGCAGCCTAGTGATGTCTTGCTGTTCTTCACAAATACTTGGTCATCTCTTCCTGTCCAGAAGCTGTAAGACTGTCTCATTACAAGTTGGGCTTGCCTCCATGCTGATGGGCAGAGCTCCCTACCCCATTGTAGTGATGCAGGGTGTAGCTCCTCACCTGTGGGCCACATTCATTCTCTAGCATCTTCTCCTTATGTTACACCCCTTCCAGGCACCAGACTTGGCTGGAAAACTAAGTCTTTCCTAGCACAGGTAGCCCGAATCAAAGAACATGAGCATTCAACACTGCTGTGGTTATATATTGCAGTATTTTACACTCAGCTTAACTGGTTAAGTACTTTATTCAGACCCTCTTATACCTCTGTCACTGGTATCACAGTGTTCAGTTCAAGCTATACATCTTTTAACACAATATATCTGGATACTTCCCAGCTTATGTGTCCTAGCACACAGTGCTGTCTCTTGAGCAGACCTTTGCTAGTCCTTTGTACTGTGCATACCTCCTGTGTGCATCGTCTCTCAATCGTATTCGGGGTCTCCTGTTGCTGGAGAGGCATATCTTCAATAATCAGGCTGCAGAGACTTCTCAGGCTGCCATTTTGGCATTGTGTTGTTTTAGTTGTGACAGCACTCTGGCTGAGTAGTGATAGAGCAAGAGGAAAATGATGCTGTATGCATGTGTACAGAAGTATTGCCCTGTCTGCCTTCCCACTACACCCTGTAGACAGACTGTGAGCAGACACAAGGATGTTGCTAAGGGCTCTATGCATCTGTTTAGGCACTCCTGGGAGAAAGTGGGAGTCAGAGTTGGAGCACTGGACCTGACAAATACAGCCGTCTGGACCGGGACCTGCAATTAGCAAATTCACACTTCATTGAAGAGCAGCAAGCTCAACAACAGGTATGGCAGCTGGCACCACACAGATTAAATAGCTTTGCTTGCCAAATGGGTGCTGTGGGGATGAGGTATGGGCTGAGAGAGCCAAAAAAATCAAGTCCCTGGCTGGTCTGGAACCAGGCGCCTGATAGCCCTCCTCTTTGCTTGCAGCACATAGCTGTGCATGCGTTTCCTGTACATCGCAGCTTTGGATACATCTTGGTGCAGAGTTTTTAAGCCTTGAAGCTTGAGTCTTCTGCTCTGTACCGAAGGCAATCAACATGATCTGGAAGATGTAGCTCACTAAGCTTTAACACTGCAAGGATTGCTGAAATCCTTGGAAGAGTAGAAATACTGCAAACAGAAAAGAGCCTGTTTCTCTTACACAACTTCCCTGTGTTAAAAAATGAGCTGATGTTTGCTGTTGTTTGTGTGCATCTTCATCAGAACGGGCTGGGAGCAGGAGCATGTGTCTGCTTCCTTTTCCTGCCTTTGTCAACATGAGATTTGTGAGAAAGCCTGTGTGAGGGCTTTGCGAGAGCCCCTGGTGAGGGACTTCCCGACACCGGAGGAGTTTGCCTGTGGAAGTGCCAGGCAGCGTGCAGCAGCCCACCCAAATACAGGCCTTCAAACAGGCAGCTTCTCCAGGGTGGCAAACTCTCCTAAAGCTCCTGACCCACACTGCCACCCCAGCTCTCAGACGAGTTTTACCTAGTGACTCTGGGAAGATAAATAGATTCAGAAATAGGTAACTAGGGTAAATCTAATCCTCAGTGTGACAGCTCCCTGAAAGTGACTTAAAACATTAGCAGACCTATTCCTTTGGCACATTCAGAGCCAGGCTTGCTATTTTTAGCTGTAGAAGCTGCAAAAGCCTTTTACTCACATTAACCCCATGTTAGCTGCAGCCTGTTTCAGGTTGCATTTCCCATACCTGCTATGAGCAGGGGGGCTTGCGGAAGTTTTGGTGACCAGTCCCTGTGGCTTTCAAGAGTCTCTTTAGTGGTGGGTGCAGCAGGGAACAGCAAGGGCATAGGTGAGCTGAGGCTGGATTTGCAGGGGTGTCAAGAAACTGCAGCCTGCTGTGCCACAGGAATGCCATGCTGGGGAGGCTTTCCTATGGCTGTCACTTCTCCAGCATTTCTTCAGAGTGTGGTCCTCATTCCTTGTGGCTTAGATCTGTACCCAGGCTCTGCAGCTGATGTTGGCTGAGCAGTGAGTGTCCAGCAGATCAGCTGGCTCCGACCCAACTGCCTAATGCAGCATACTTATAATTGCCTGTTTCCTTTCTCTTTGGCCCCAGTTGATTGTGGAGCAGCAGGATGAGCAGTTGGAGCTGGTCTCTGGCAGCATTGGAGTGCTGAAGAACATGTCCCAGCGCATTGGCGGGGAACTGGAGGAGCAAGCAGTGTAAGTGTCAGAAGCAGCACCAAAAACCCAGTATGGGGCTGGCTGCAACACAGCTGGAGGTTCTCACACTCACATCTCTGTCCCTGTTACGGTATTGAATTTACTAGTCCCTCAGGCAGCCTCTCCTAGCTGGCCTTCAATTTTTGGCAGTGGAAAGCATTTGTTACTGCAGCCTGCAAGGATCCAGCTGCAGCCTTGTTCATTTTGAAAGTCTGCACCTAGGGCAGGCTTAGCTGCCAGTTTGCTTTTCCTTCTCTCTCCTTTCTGCATACTCCCCCTAAAACACACGGCTCCTTGGCTTCAGGCAGCCAGCACTGCTGAAAAGATGAGGGAGGGAGGGAGGGAGGTACTGTATAATGGGAATACTGGGCACTTTACTACTCCATGGGCTTTTTTTGTTGCCCCTGGATAACTGCTTGACCCAGGAGCTTTCAGCTCTGCCTTGCCACTCTGAAACATGCAGCACAGAGCTGCTATTCATAGTTAAAGCTAAAAATATCCCTCACCCACGCTAAAGGGTAAAGGGTAGCTCACAGGGTAATTTGCATCTATCATTTACATATAAATTAGATTTTTTTTCACCATTCCTGTCCTTTGCAAACAAGTGCATAAAGTTTCCAGTTATGCAGGCTGACAGCTACCACTTCCAAAGGGGCTTGAAGGGTTCATGCCTGAAAACCCTCATTGTTTGGCTGATAGGAGTCTGGAAGGCTATGCCCCTTGTGAAGTGATGTCTTGTTTGATGGAGAGGAGGAACTTTAAATGCACCTCCTGATGAAGCCTTGCAGCATGAGACTCTCCTGCTCTCAGGAAGCAGATCAGTATGGTGTGTCTGCTTCCAGATCACTGCATAAGCCATCAGTACTTGCTAGACAGTAGCAGATGACTACTGCAATGAGTTTTTTTACAACTCTTTCCCCACTGAAAGAAGGTTTAACAATGCCTTAGAATTCCAATTGAAGGATGCTCTCCTTTTAAATGTATTAAGCTTTAAAGTCCTGCTGGCTGGAGACTGTTGGATTGGTATCTTGATTCTGGATGTGATCTTTTCAAATAGGTGCTTGGCATTGGCAAAGCATGGCTTCAGGAAGGCTTTCAGATTCATTACAGTCTTAGTATGGAGGAAGTAGAGGGGTAACTTCCATGCAGAGCTTAGAAAGCACCTTAAAAGCAATTACGATTTTCATTCCTGCTTGATACATGACTGAAACAAGATTTTTGCTTTAACTACAAGCTCTGAACAAGAAAAGAGATTTCAAGTCCAAGCTGGCACCTAGATCTGTCTAACTGGTGTCTGCTAATCACAGACTATAAATGAGACTTTTCCCATGAAAAGATGAGAAACCCCATTCCTCACCTTGCAGGGGTGCCTAGAGCTCAGCTGTGGACATGCAGGGAGACCAGTCTGACAGGAGTCCCAAATGACTTCCCACTCCGCAGCAGACCAGCTGCTTCAGCAGGTTTTTCCCCCCTTTTGGGTGCTTTCAGGAGACCAGGCCACGTTCATTTTCTCTGCCAAGGTGTGATGCACTGATCACATCAAGACTTCTGACCAGTGTGTAAGCATGCTGAGAAATCTCAATGGGACGTGCCACGTGCTGACGAATGTCATGCTTCTCTGTCCATAGGATGCTGGATGACTTCTCCCATGAATTAGACAGCACTCAGTCACGGCTTGATAATGTCATGAAGAAGCTCGCCAAAGTGTCTCACATGACAAGTGGTAAATCCTGGGAAGTGGGATCCAATCTTGGGAAGGGAGAGACAAGCTCTCAGATCTTCGGTGGGATGCTATGTGCTCCCCCCCGCTGACAGCCATCCCAGAACCGAGCAGATGGGAGGGACCAGCTCTCACTGCTTGCAAAAGGGGGAAGACTTTCAAGGCCTGCAGCCGCTCCTGCCCAGACTCTACTCTGCAGGCTGTTCTTAGCCTTTGTTTCCTTTACAGATGCCCTTCTATTTATGCTGCTACCGCTGCAGTGGGAAAATCCCCTCTGGATGGTTGGAGGGGAAGCTCTGCAGCCTCCTGCTCTGCTGCAGTTTCCCGGGCTGCCTGTGGAACAAAAGCTTTCAAGGTGCCATAAAAACACCACCGTGTGTGGCTTTCCCAGCACCAAACGCCTGCAGCAAGCCCCTTCCCAAATCCCACCTGCCCTCAGGCTGCTGGTGCCCTCGGGCTGCAGGCCTGTTGTCAGTCAGATATATCACTCAGCTGGTGGAGGAAAAAGGCGACTTCTGCACCGGGAGAGGCTGAACTCACGAGAAAGTCCTTATAAGGCTGTGCCTGAAGCCGGTGGGCTGGCAGGGCGCCGCGGGCAGAACAAACAGGAAGCCCGGCATGCCTGCCGGGAAGTCCCCTGCCGCCAGCTCACTGCTCTGAGTGCTGGTGCTGCGCCTGTGGCCGCCTCCTCTGTCACCCCTCTCCCCTGGGTGCTGGGGTAGCATGTGGAGGCAGCAGCGAGGCAGGAGGAGAAGCGTTCCTGCTCTGCAAGATTAGGCTGGACAGGGGATTTCTGAGGTTGTGGAAATACGGTCCTACAGAGACCGTTTGGAGTGCTGACAGTGCACTTTGGATCACCAGTAAGCCCAGTGGCAGCATGACTGCTGGCAAGCCTTGCATATCTCTCCATTCCTCTGGGAAAAATGCTTTGGCATTGGAGTGTTCCTGAGAATTGTGAATGAGCGTTTCTGCTATCCCAGGCATTGTATGTGTTGGGGCTGACCAGGAGGGTTCTTCCCTGCTGTGCCCTGAAGTTGGGGGTGGCAGCAGCCCTGTCCCCACTGCTGCACCATTGTCTCGCAGGGGCTTTCTCTCTGGCATGCAGATGTGGCCATAGACAGAGTAGCTCTTAGAGGCAATGCAGCTTTGAGCTTCTGCAGAGCATGCACAAGGCCAGCAAGGTGTGAAGATGTCCATGGGAAACCTCATTCCTGGCACTCTCCTCCAGGGAGCCGCCATAGGCTCTTCCTGGCAGAGCTCTTTTGGGGCAGCTTTCACCAGACCCCTTCTTGTTCCTCCAACAACTAGGTTATTCCAAGAATGAGCAGCAACAAACAGCAGTTTTCTGATTATTCTTCCTGATTGCCTTTGAACCAGCTTATTAAATCTGTTTGAACTTGGCTGGGGAGAAGCCTCAAAATTCCCACAGCTGTCCCTGAAAACAGATGTGTCCTGGAGGAGAAACACTGTCACCCCGTAGCCAAAGGAGCTGCTGCTTTGTTTTTTTCAGGCTTCCTTAAGCTTAAACTGGGCTCCTAGTAGTCGAGCAAAGAAAAGCTCTCCCCCAGTTTTCCTTCCCTGTTAAAGCAGGAAGACTGACACGTCCTTTTCCTTCCAGATCGACGGCAGTGGTGTGCAATTGTTGTCCTCTTCGTCATCCTGCTGGTGGTGCTCATCCTGCTTTTTGTCCTGTGATGGACTGAACTTCCTGGGATGCCCCCTCCCTGCCCCCTCGGCCCGGTGTCACAGGGAAATGAAACTCTCACCGTTTCCGTCCGCACGCAGAGATACCTGACCCCGGCTCTCAACATTCTCCTCTGAGGACCATGGTTTGGCTCTGCTGGTGTCTCACCGGGACCTGGGGAGAAGGGGTGCAGGACTGGAGCTGCCTCCTCCCCCAGTGCAGTGTGATCTGGACCTGACCTTCAGGTCTGGACCCAGGCAGCTGGAGGGGGACTTGACCCCTTACCCTTTCACCTCGTGCAGGTAGGAGCCGGTTGCAGCACTCCCAAGCCGCCTGTGGTCGGATGCGAACACAGAGCAGCAAGCCCTGGGGAGGACAGGAGCGGGGAGGAATTAGTTGATTCACTGAGCATTACAAACTGCATTGCCAGCCTCCAGTGCTTGCCAGCCAAAGGCATTACTGGGAGGAGTGGTGGTGTGGAAGTCCGTGCAGCCCTGGTGAGTGAGGGGAGCCCTGGCTGAACTCCCACTGCCCCACACTGCCTTCCTCCCATGGGCTGGCTCAGTGCTGCTGATCTGCTGCCGAGGTACCACAGTGAGTCTCCAGCTGAGCTCACATCCACCACCGCTTGGCAGAAGCTTGCATGCAGGTGAGCCATAGGGTGTCCTGTCCTGTCCTGCCATCGGCTGGCTGGGTGCGATGAGAAACCCCAGAGCTTTAAACTTGGGTTGCTGCACACTGAAAGCTGGCAAACAACCGTTAGCCAGAGAGTGAATTTCTTAAAGCTTTTAAAATTGCCTGCTTCGTTATACAAGCCTCTAAAGCTCATTGACTGATGCTTTCTTTGCCCTTGTATAACTGCTTCTGTTTAACAGCTGCTTCCCTTTGGCAAGTGATTTGTCAGGTCTAAAATAACTTATTTTTTTTAAGGAAAAACCAAAAACTTTAAAGATGTTTTTGATGACCGTTCAAGCCCCATATTCTCTGCGGGTGCACAACATGCATTGTCAGAGGAATGAGGCTCCATTATGTACTTCGAGTGCATATGAACTTGTAAATAGGATGTCTTAATTTTCCCAACTGCTTTTTTTTGACACCTCCATTGTGAGCAACTAAAAGGCAGGAGATTTAAAGCTAGGTCACATTCCTGTATTACTTCCCAGTCCTGTTAACTTTGAGTTGTCTCAGCAGTGTTGGATAGCCTAGTTGTCTCCCTTGTACAGTGAATTAAAAGTCAGCCAGGTGGTTGATACCAGCATGTGGTGAATAAAGCTCACCCTGGCAGTATCACAGGGGAGAAATGCAGCCAGGGGGTTACACTGCTAACACTAATTGCAGTTTATGGGGTGACTTCAGAAAAACAAAAGCGATATTTAACTCGCAAACACCAAAAGACTCAGGCCAGGCTGGCTTTACACCTCTCATCTGGCTTTCAGATGGGGCTGGGGGAGGAAGTTAATTGGTGCTGGTGCTAATACTTCTGCTGAAATTGCAACTCGGCCCTGGAAATCATCCTCCTGGAGTGGTAAGCTCACCACCAGACAGCCTTACCTCTGAGATGCTTAGCCTGGACTGAACACTTCTCCCCACCGCGTTTGTTGCTCCCTTCTAGCAGTTGTGTGATGCTCCTGCCCTGCCACAGGTGCTAGGTGCTGATGGCCAGCAGCGCTGTGCCTTCTACAGCCGCCAGACTGGGATAAGGGGGTCTGAGATGGATCTGCCCTACCGCACACCTGGGTGGGTGCTTTCCTCATCAATGCACATGTGCCCCGAGCAGCAGCCCGCACTAATGGTTTCAGCAGTTGCTCTTTGTCCTTGTGGAGAACCTCATTTCTTTTGGTGTCATTACAAGAAATATGTGGGGTCTCCTTTCCAGGGCTAGCTATACCAGCATCTGCATGGCTCCTTGGGCTTAATACCTCTCCAAGAGCAGGTTCCCAGGAGTGTGAGTCTAACCAGAGAATGGGGTTTGCTGTTGGCCAGTATTTGCACACCTTTGATGTTATTTTCAGCATGGTTTTGCATCCTTCAGAAACAGCTGATGCTCCATGCAGGGACTGCGCCTTCTTTAGTCTGGCGCAGTGCTGGAGGTTGGCCCAGCTGCTGCCATAGCCATGAGCCACCGAACAGCCTTCAGTCCCTTTTCTGTGTACATCAGCTTTCTTTGTTGGTGGTGGTGCTGCTCCCTTTAACACTAAATAAACTCGCTGCTGCTGTGCCACACTGAGCAGCAGCAAAGATCACTGTCCCTTCTCGCAGTGGCCCTTGCTCAGGAACAAGCTGGAGTGGGGGCTCTCCCGGCACCAGGTAGCTGCTGGCAGATGCTGCCCACATGTGGGGCACCAGCATGCACAGGGCAGCCATTGCTGGTTCCTGCACTTGCTGGGCCGGCATCTGCTGCAGAGGCCTGTCGGTGCGCAGACACCCTGGTGCCACCCTGCAAGTTTTCCCCACTGTGGCTGGAAAAAAACCAAACCCCAGACAGGCAGCAGGAGTGCGGACCCCCCCTTTAGCTATGAATACTTGCAAGCATGTTCTCAGTGCTGTCCCAGCAGCACACACAGGAAGAGAACCGTCACCCCGTGCTCCTAGCCCACAGTGCTGCTCATCAGGGCGTGGAAGGGGCTTTGCTCAGCTCAAGGAGCAGTGCAGGTGGCTGAGCCCCCCCCCCCACGCCCGCTTAGGGCCCTCCAGCACCTCCACACGGTCCGGAGGTGCAGGATCTCACAAAACACAGGCTGGCTGGGAATAGCGCTGCGGGGAGTACACTCACCCCCCAGCACAGTTCCCTGCAGAGCATTAGCCCAGGGAGCCCCTCTTACCCCCGTCGCCATTTCCTCACCCCACAGACTGAACAGGTCCGTAGGCCCAATTGCTTCTCCTGGCTTGTAGATTACAGCATCCAGGCTCACTCTGTCCTGAGGCTGTGGGGCATGCCAAGACGTGTTCAGAACCCTGGGTTTACACAGTGAAGCCCACTGTAATTACAGTGGCCCAAGGCAGAGGGGTGTCTCAGCCTCATGGGAAAGCACCCACACGCTCCCCCCCTGCACCCATCAAGAGCCAAACAACCCCAGCCCTGAGGCCCCCCCGGCCAGCCCGCACCAGTAAGCATCACCCCAGCCTCCCGTAAGCCAAGGGCACCCTGATGCGTTATTACATATATGTACATATTTTAATGTTTCCAGCAGTGTGAAATAATTTAAACCCACCATCCCATGCGGGCAGGTATTTAGCACTGGCAGGGAGCCCTGTATCTTCCGGGGTCACAGAGGTGGGGCATTGCCATTCTGGCCACCCCAATGCCCAGCAGGCCGGACCTAGCCTGGCTTGATGGTGGGGCTGGGGTGTCCTTTGTCCCCACAGCTGGGGCAGCTCCTCAAGATGCTGGACACCGGGGAGTCCTTGGTCCCACTTTGTCTCCCAGGGAGGGGACCTCCACCACAGTGGGGAGCAAGTGTTGCAGCGGAGCAGGGCAGGTCCTGGTGCTGCAGGGTGGTTTGGTCCACTCTGTGCCAGCCTGCAACGTCCCATCGGTGGGATGTCATCCTCCTCCCACCAGGCTTCCCAGGAGCTGTGCTGGGGCTACCGGGGTGCTGGGCGGTGCCTGAGCACACGGAGCGACAGCGTGTCCGCCTGGAGCAGCAGCTCACGGATGCGGGCCAACCCCAGCCCCGAAACGGCTGCCCCATTGACCTGCAGAATCTCATCCCCCACACCCAGGAGCCCCGCGTACAGCTTGGCTGTGCTGGCGTCCACCATCTCCTGCACGTAGACACCTACGGAGAGGGATGGGACAGGTGAGCCCCCACCCTGCACCCCGTGGCTGGAGCTGTGCCCCGTAGGGCTCCCCAGTCATAAATACTGTAAATGGCTTTTCGGACAGGCTGTGTCCCCCAAGCCAAGGGCTGATGGACATGTGCGACTGTGTGCAGAAAGCCACACATGTGGCAGTATCCCCCCATCCACCATCACCCCTTTGGGGCTCAGCAGGGACGGAGCAGCCCTTTGTACCTGTCCCCAGGCTTGCTCCTGTGAAGGGAGAAGAGCCACTGTGGAGGGGCCATGCCAGGCCTCCCCTAGGGTTTGGGTGAAGCTTTGGGATGACCCCACCATACCTTTGTCAGGCCGGCCATGCCCAGAGGTGACACAGAACCCGAAGGCGCCCTGGGGGGGTCGCTGCAGCTCCAGCTGGCTGGTGCCATCAGGGTAGACCTCCACCACACGCCCCACTGCACGCAGCCGGCCGGGCACCCCAATGTCCTCCACGCTCAGCGAGCGCCGTGGCCCTGAGCCCCGCTTCCTGCGGGGAGAGGGGAGATGGGGTGAGCGCGGGCCCTGGCTGCACCGAGCCAGTGCATGTGTCTGAGCACCCCGAAACAGCAGATGCGCAGAGCCCCATCCTACCTGTCAGCCGTGGTCTGGGGCAGGAGGTAGGCACTGGCACGGGGTGCCTTGCCCAGGAGTGGGTGCAGGCTCTGAACAGAGGCGGCGTTTTGGGGCTGATGGAAGGGTGACACCTGGAGAAAAGCACCTGATTGAGATGGGGACAGCAAAAGCTGTGCAGCGCTGCAGCCCATCATGCACCAACATGCAGAGGGAGCAGGGGCTAACAGCACATCTTTCTTACACCTTCCCCCCCACCCCCTGCGTCCACTGCTGAGGAGAGATAAGCCAGCTTCCTGAGGATGCATCTCACTGTAGCCATGACCCTAAACCAAATTACCCTATCTCCCCTCCCCAAAGCTGCTTTTCCACCCTCCCATGCTCGCTCCCTCCCCCTTCCATTCCTCATTTGGCTGCAGGCTTTTCAAACTCCCAAGTTTGGGATGGACCATGCCACCACCCCCCCCCCCAGTTCTTCCTGTGGGACCATAAAGCAATGGCTCAGGAATGCTTCAGCCCAGTCCAGCACCTCTTCTCCTGTGGGACCCCTCGGCTCCCTGCAGATACCCCTGACATGGGCTGATGTTTCAAGCTCACCAGCTGCAGGGACTGCAGGGAGGGTGACTTCTTCATGCTGGACCCATCTGGGGCGGTGCTGCCGGGGGCCGGGAGCTGCTCCATGCTGTAGCAGCGGAAGCGGCCCAGGCGCTGCTTCGTGCTCTGGCTGAGGCTGCACAGGAGCTTCTTCAGCCCTGATGCCGAAGTGCTGCTCCCCTTGCGGCTCACTGGCTGCCCCGGCTCCCTGGATGGAGAGGGGTGACTGTCATCTACCCTGTACACGGGGGGAGCAAGGCCAGCGGGTGTTTCAGGGCTGGGGGCACATCCTGCACCCGCCACTGCAGCCTTGAGAGCTGCACCGTGGTGAGACTGGGGTGCTGCCACCTCCCTGCAGCAGTAACTCAGCTTGCACAAGGGCAGGTTTCACAAGCCAGGATGCCTAACATCTTCCCCAAAATTTCAGCAGTTTACCACCATTAACTCCCCTAGTCTCTGCCTGAAGGGAATGCATCCTGCCAAGGGGCTTGAAGGACCAAGTGCTGCCTCCAAACCCTACTGCCAGGCTGAGTCCAGCAGGATCATGTTTAGTGAGCCCCAAGGCAGCCCGGGGCTGGCAGCATTTAGCAGCCAATTTTCCCCAAAAGGGAAGGACCTGGCACTGGGCTAAACACCTCCAAGGTCACCCACATTTGCCCACAAGTCACATCTGCTGCAACACCCCCGGTGGAGCCAGATGCAGCGTGAAACACAGCTCCCACAAACCCATTTGAGCACACATGCAAAACTGTCACCTCACATTGTGGGTTCTGGGAGGGTTTTGGTGCTGAGAGGTAGAGTCCCACCAGGAAGCCTTTGGGAGCTCCGCCTGGCAGCACCTTGCTGTGCCAAGGAGGGATGCTCAGGGATGCAGCAGCCACCGTGCAGTGCAGGCTGTGAGCAGCCCCTCGCTCTCACTCACCCATGTGCTGTGCTCCTGCCTGGGCACTGCTGCTGCGATCCCAGATTCCCAGCTGCTTCCCCAAGGGAATGAGAAGCCTCCTGGGGCACAGGGGTGATGGGGCTGGCAGTGGGATGTGACGGTGCCCCTGCAACCACAGCAAGCCAGTCACATCCCTGCTTCATCAGAGACCCCCCCCCAGGCATCCCCGTGTGTGGGTGTCTTACCTCTGCCTGTCTCCAGAGGGTCCTGCCCATGGGTGTTGTTGCAGTTGTTGGTGGACAAGGCACGGAGAGGGCTCCCCGGGAGCCACCTGGGGCTGCAGGAACCCCGACGCTCCCCTGGCCTCACCGTGCCTCCAGGCTGGGAGGACA